GTTGTCCTTATTTGGTTCGAATCATATCTCTCTGCGCGAAAACAACAGGTATTACGCAGAGATGTTTTATCATCTGTTCAGGAAGTAAAGCATGGTGTACGACAAGGTTCAGTACTTGGACCGCTTCTGTTTTTGCTATACACTGTTGACGTTTTCGACATCATTGATTCATTCAGGTTCAAGCATCATGGGTTTGCAGATGACATACGAATCATTGTCAGTGGTCCAGCTACTTCATTTCAAGCTCTTGTTGAAAGATTTGGTCGGTGCATGGAGACGATTGATTCTTGGATGATCAAGCACAAACTGAAATTGAATCAATGCAAAACCCAGTTATTGCCAATTGGTACGAGGCAGCAAATAAACCAATTAAATTTCACTTCGATTGAGATTAACAACAGTAAGATTGAATTATGTCAAGTTGCTCGTAATCTTGGTGTTGTATTCGATGGTAATATGACAATGGAGTGCCACATAAAGTCGCTAACTGGTGAATGTCATCGACGACTTCGCATGATGAGGGCTATAAAAAAATTCACTTAATGAGATTACCCTAAAGAGTTTGGCTCACGCGTTTATTCACTCAAGGCTAAACTATTGCAACAGCCTTTTTTACGGTGTCTCCATGTTGGAAATTTCCAAACTGCAGTCAATTCAAAATCGCATGGCCAAGCTAGTTGTCGGAGGTTTTAGATCTGATCATGTGACGCCGATTTTACGGGATCTACACTGGCTTCCAATTGAAAAAAGAATTATCTACAAGATTGCTGTTTTGATGTTCAAAGTTTTAAATGGGCGTGCTCCTCCGTACTTGGTCGGTAGATTGACTAAACGTGATTCAACGTCTGGTTATCCAGGATTGAGATCCAATAATAGGAATTTGCTAGACGTTCCTCAAACCCGTTTGGTGATTGGAAAAAGAAATTTTGCTGTTGCTGGACCGATGGTGTGGAATAATTTGCCAACCTCACTCCGTCTACCTGGAATATCATTTCCTCTATTTTGTAAACAATTAAAGTTGCTGCTTTTAAAGCAGCATTTCGGTTCTTGTAATTAAATGTGATTATGAAAAAGAAAAAATTTTTGTTTTTATTTTTTATATTCTTTATTAGCCAGTACTATCATTATGTTGTTTTAATTCTTGTGTCTGTTAATAATTCGTTGTGAAGTTTGTTGATTATTGAGTTGAATTTGTGTACATACCTAGTAACTTGTGTGGATAAATCCTAAAAATCGTCATTTGAATTAGTATTACTTCTTTTTGGTCATCTATTTATTTATTGATTTTGTGTTAAATATATGTGTGTTTTGACATTTAACTGAGTGACAATCAACTTTCTTTCTTATTCCTTGTTTATTTTTTTCTTGCACTTACTGTAGGCGCTTTTGAGATTTTATTAAAAAGCGATTTATAAATTTTCATTTAATAATAATAATAATATATATAGTAAAGCATCGAAAAATATAGATATTATTTATCGTCCTAAGTTAAGATTTCCTAATTTTATTTTGTACTCTTTGTATAATACATTAGTTTTTCCATATTTTATTTATTGTTTCAATCTGGGGTAACAGTCCAAAATCTCATTTGCATATTTGAAATATTTTTGTTAGAATTTTATTTAATGTAAAAAAATTTGATCGTATAAGTATTTATTATAAATCCTCAAACATTTGGCCTATAGAAAATTTACAACACACGTTTAGACGACATTTTCCCCGAGATCGGGGGTTGCCGCTATAGAAGATTTACATATATTATATACATTATGTTTTTTTTAAACTTTATAAATTAAATTACAGTCCTTATCTTAGTGAATATTTTAAAAGTTTTATTAATTCTAGACAAAATTATTTTAAAAACAATCCAACCTTCTATTTTCCCAAACCAAGAACAATTTTTATTATTAATTCTGTTCTAATTGTTTCAATGTATCTGTGGAACACATTATCTAATATAATTAAAGAATCAAACCGTTTATATCATTTTAAAAATTCGGTCATAAATTTGATATCATGCAATTTTTTTTCTACTGCAAGATATTAAGTGTTATTATTTTGGTGTTATCTTATGTTTATGTATTAAATCAAGAGTCGTTCTTTTATTTTCCTTTCATTTTTGTTTTTTTTAATTGAATTTCAATCTAAGGGTTTTCTGTTATAATTTTTTACATAATCAGAACCATATATATAATATAATATATATTATTCACCAATTTTTCATATACTCTGAACTGGTGGCCGATACAAGATTTTTAATCTTCCAGGTCTCCAGGTTAAATCTTCACTGATTTGATAAATAAACGAATTGTGAATCGTGAATATATTATTATTATTATTATTAGAGAATTTATATAGCGCCCTTTAATGCAACTCAAAGGCGCTGCTTTCGTCTGGTGAAATCATCGGGAAAAAAGATACGTCTTCAAATCTGCGAAACTTCTGGATAGTTAAAACAGGTTGACGGAGGCTGAATGGTAGTGAGTTCCAAATTTGTGGACCAGCAACGGCAAAATTCCTATTGGCCACCATCAAATTTGTTTTTGGCACCGATAAAAATAACTGATCATATGAGTGTAATTGCAAATGATGAATAAACACCTTCCAGACAAGTAGCTTGGGCTTAAGCCATTTAAACATTTGAAAACCATAACGGCAAACTTGAAGATAATTCTTTTGTTAATTGTGAGCCAATGGAGATCTCGTAGAGTATTACTGACATGGTCGTATTTAAACCCTCCAAAAATGATCTTAGCAGCACGATTTTGAATTGACTGACGACGATTAATCAATTGATTTGAAACTCAGTAAAAAATGCTGTTGCAGTAACCCAATTTTGAATGAATGAATGCGTGAACCAAACATTTCAAGGTGTCGTTATTGACTGATTTTTTTACTTGCATGAATTTGCGAGGTTGATAGCAACAATCTTTAACCAATGACTTTGTATGTTGATCCATTGAATGTGTTCAATCAGTACTAAACGCTGCAGCAAAATTGGTAGCTGGCGTTTCCAAGTTTCTTTTCATCTCAGTATACATGCGTGATGAACTCCATTGGCTGCGGTTTCCGGAAAGGGTTAAATTTAAAGTGGCATTCTTGGTAAAAGATTGTCTGACGGGAAATGCACCGGTTTACTTGAGTGAACAACTAATACCGGATTCAAAGGTACATGGACGTAGTTACCTTAGGTCGTCGGACTATGGGGATCTGGTTATTCCGTCCTTTAGTTCCACAAAATACGGACAGCGAAAATTTGCTGTAATGGCGGGTGAAATTTTAAACTCACTTCCTGTACAGTAGATGGATGGTTCCATCACAGATCGACAGTTGTTTAAAAAAACATTGAAACATTATTATTTCAACACTGTACACCAAAAAAGCGCTTCTGAGGTCTTTTCGAGAGAGGCGCCATACAAGTTCTGATACTGATATATATATATATATATATATATATATATATATATATATACTGTAATTTATTATGTTGTCTTAATACTTTTTAGAGCTTTTGGATTTTTATTTCGTTTGGCCCTAAAAACACGTTCTTAATATTTGCATTTAAAAAAAATTGTTTTTGGTGTTCAAGAATTTACAAAATGGGAAAAAAGGAGAATGGGAGGAAAAACACGGGAATGAGTTGAAAAATGGGAAATAGGGATTTCAGAAAACATTGTCATAAATGGGAATTCGGGAATGACAAACAAAAATGGGAGGGAATTGGGAACAAATTTCAATTCTCGCTCACCTCTAGTAAGAACCCATTGCAAATTAATTTAACAAGATAGTTTCAAACACCTTCGTTCAACAGCTACGAAGTGTTGCTTTATTAAGTACGAAAGATTATTCCAAAAGATATTGGTTAATGACATGTATAAATGTCAATTACAAAACTGACGCATAACAATGATCTAAACGCCGATCCATCGGTAAACTTATTCGACGAAAACGACACCAAAAAGTTCCAAATTAATAAGGTAGACAACGTTAAATTAATTTGTAAAATAAATGTAATGAACAATTTCTATTAAACACGCATAAACAAAAGTAAGTAACAAGTGTTATCAAAGATGCATTAACGCAGGTAACAAACAAATAAGTAACCCAACCAGCAACAAAAGTTATCTTACATGCTGATGTTGGCGAGATCAGTGAATGGAGAGATGGGGGCGCAGAGGGCATCAGCGTTGGCCAGCAAGACCTTGCTAATGAGAGATGAATGAATGGGTGACGATCTGCGATTCTTGCTTAGTTGCTGTTCTGTCGGTTGTTTAAAATAAACGATCGTTTGTTAAAATAAAACTTCATTATTGGAACAATAATTTCCTAACATTATAAGGCCATATTATTTCTGTTGAAGAGACGTATATGTTACTTGAAAAGTATAAACATGCATAAATGTAATCAAACATTCCGCTGTTGGGAAAGTATTATATTCACAATTGATATAATATCCCTATCAATCTATATTTCTTCATTCATTATAATCTTCAATGTATAAAATTATAAACTAAAATTATATCAATAACTAAAGTTGCACAGGAGCTGAGCTCCAGCTGTTCTTCATTATCCTGCAGTGATATTCGGCTTCAGCAGAATATCACTGCAGGATAGCTGGCCAGATAGGCCAAAGTGTCCACATTTATATCATGCGTAATGTTAATATAATTTTGTGTTAAAAATGCGAAACATAATTGAATTTTTATGATTTATTAATTGAAACAAACAAATATTCTTTAAAATATATGCTTACCGTCTATTAATAAAAAACAATAAATAGTAAGTAAGCGTGGCTATAAATTTCAGCGTGTTAATATCGTTGCATGCATGTCTCGTGTAACTGCTTGTACATTTTAAGTACACGTATTGAAGGAATACGACACCGGTTGGCTATCTAATTGGATTATCCGGCCAAATCCTTCTCATCCGCACTCTTATAATAATTGTTTTTTTTTTAAAAAAAAACATCAATGATATATGATAACAACTTATGAAATGACCGACTAGGTTGACTATGCAGAAGCGGAACGTTCAACAGCGGGAATGAAAGATCCTTGCTGCCACCATGACTCCCACCCCCACACGTGCACGTCGTTCCAGCATCTCCATAGATGACCTCATTCTGCTGGCTGGCAGTGCTTAAACTGCTGATTGTCCTGTGCTGATGTTGATTGACCGCTGCATCGTTCACGTTGGTGCTGTTCGTCATCGAAGGCGAAAGGTGGTGCTTTTGGTGGAGGAATGGTGGATTTGCTGGAGGAGATTGTGAAATTTAACATTGATGCATTTGTGTTGAAACAATAGGTCAACGTGTATTGACATAACACCATGCATGTGGAAGCCCTAGAAACATCATTTTTGTCAACCATCTGAACAAGAAAGTGACAAGAAAAACATAAAAGTGATAAAGCAATGCTTAACAAAAAAGAGAAATGGGTTGTTATTTAATGGGTGACACATATTAAAAATGGTGCTTACTGTCGACTAATAAAATTTTAATATTGGCGGTTGAAAGGTGTCAACTATTTTGATGATGAGATTGAAAAGAATTGTTAGAAGACATTCAATAAAACAACAACATCAACAGCACAAACGTTCAACACTACAAAAACAACAACATCGAGAGGGGTAATGCTGAAAGAAGACGAACGAGATGTGAGAAAAACAGGAGACCATCTGTCCATCAAGGATTCCACCCCTACCCGGCCGTTGTCATAACGATGAAATAATGGAGATGACGTCACACTGCAGCTACCGTTCTCCCGCGATTGAAGCAAGTGTTGCTGATGTTGGTGCTGGTGGTGATAGGGATAAGTGTGTGGAGTCAGTGTGTCCTGAATTGAGATGACAGTGGTGGGACTTCCTGGATACGAAAAGTGCAGTGTCTCAGAAACCTGTGGGCGTGAAATGTATATGAAATGAGCGTGTATGTTCTGTATGCATATGCATATAATTGTGAAGTGAGTGTGTACATGCATACTGTGAAATAAATGTGTGGATGCAAACATGTTTGTGACGATTCAGTTAAAATTTTTAGTGGTTTCAAGATTGACATCAACCAGTCCAACCTCTTTTAATCATTTTCAGCTATGTATAAGCTTGAAATCTAACAAATAGTTAGTTACTCTATAAAGTTTTTTAATCATTCATTTTCCCTGCAAGGTTCAATATCCCTAGACTTTTATCTATAAGATTGAACTAACAACTAATCATCAATAGAGCAATAAAATAAATAGAGTTGAAGTTGATGCATTCTATTGATGCCAAGCTAAATTCAATGATTTGTTTAAATCAACGCTCAACTGATAAACGAGGATGTCGGCTAGAGACCAGTAAGGCAAGAATGCTGAATGGCTGACGATAAGCACGTGAGACTACAAGGCGAAGGACGAATTAACGCATTTCCATTAAGATAGAAGAGTAGTTAATGTTCTATGGAGTTGATAATTTTTTAGAATTCATATTAAAATGTTAGCAAAGAGATCTTTAAAGTTATAATTAAAATAATTTGTTTAAAATATATTGTACAAGATCGTGATTGCACATCGGTTGTTCTTATGAACTTTAAATGTGTGAACAAAAGTAAGGAAACAAAATGGAATAAATATTAATACGTCTGCTTCAACAACTGTACAATATATATATATATATATATATATATATATATATATATATATATACACTGAAACGAACTACAAACATATTAACGTCAAACATTCGGTAGAATTTATGGAATATTGTGAAAGTTATGGTCTATTGCCAACATATATATATATATATATATTGTCAGAATTATGAAATAATGCTGACTAAAAATACTGCAAAATTTTCAACGCGAAATTTATTCACTCGATAGGGGGCATGGTGCAAGTTAATTTACTCGATAGGTGACAACGTATTTTTTTTGTTTTGCAATTTAGATGACGTCATAAATTATTATAAATTATTTTAAAATTTAATTAATACTTTTTCTGATTAATTGGACATGCCTTGTAGATTTTTATGTTTTAAAACACCCGAAACAAAATCTAATTTTGTTTTGATAAGGAAGGGTGTGAAAAGACTTAGAGAGAGTCCGCTCTGGGTTGACTAGTGAGGCAGCTTCGAATAATCAGTGCCTCTTCTGGTCCCTAAGAGACTTAACGCGTGATTCTATGCTCATTGGCATAGTTTCAGAAACGTCTTAAGTTCTCAAAGAGTCAGCCTTGGGTTCACCAGTTAGGCAGCTTCGAGTAATCAGTGCCTGTTCTGGTATCTAAGAGACTTAACGCGTGATTCTATGCTCATTGGCATAGTTTCAGAAACGCCTTAAGTTCTCAAAAGTGGATTTAGTACGAGACTCTATGCTCATTGGCATAGTTTCGCACGCGTACTAGAGTCACACAATTTGTTTCCAGTGTTGTTCTGACTCTTGTTGTCTTGTGTTGGTCGTGCGAAAGCCGATCAGACTCGACGGCCCAGTGAAAACAGGCCGTGGTTGTGCGAAAGCCGACCGACTGACAGACAGGCCCAGTGAAAACAGGCCCTTGGTCGTGCGAAAGCCGATCAGACTTGACGGCCCAGTGAAAACAGGCCAAGGTTGTGCGAAAGCCGACCGACTGACTGACAGGCCCAGTGAAAACAGGCCCTTGGTCGTGCGAAAGCCGATCAGACTTGACGGCCCAGTGAAAACAGGCCAAGGTTGTGCGAAAGCCGACCGACTGACAGACAGGCCCAGTGAAAACAGGCCCTTGGTCGTGCGAAAGCCGATCAGACTTGACGGCCCAGTGAAAACAGGCCAAGGTTGTGCGAAAGCCGACCGACTGACTGACAGGCCCAGTGAAAACAGGCCCTTGGTCGTGCGAAAGCCGATCAGACTTGACGGCCCAGTGAAAACAGGCCGTGGTTGTGCGAAAGCCGACCGACTGACAGACAGGCCCAGTGAAAACAGGCCCTTGGTCGTGCGAAAGCCGATCAGACTTGACGGCCCAGTGAAAACAGGCCAGGGTTGTGCGAAAGCCGACCGACTGACAGACAGGCCCAGTGAAAACAGGCCTTGGGTTCTGTGAAAACGAATCCGCCTCGTTGTTTTGTTTCTTGTGCTATTTGTGGACCTAGGGTTCTTTGCTGGATTCTATACTCATTGGTATAGTTTCACACGCAGCTTGGAATTTCCATAGGCTCCGATTTTTGTGATTCATTTTTTTTTTTTTATTTATTGGAGTTGTATCGACATCACCATCGGATACACACGATTAAAACGCCAAGAAACATATTCCAAGTTGAAGACCCAACAAGAAGAGTTCTAATTCCTGTATTCCAGTTTGTTCATTGACATTTACATTCTTATAGAGTTCATTAGTTCAATTCCTTTTATTTACTTCCGTCGATTAATAAAATTGTTATCGAATATTTTTACGCGTTCGTGTGTTACTCAGTAAAATCATATAATTCGAAAAAGCCCAGTGCCACACAGGACTGGTCGAACTCACGATAAAAATATACACAAAAATTATTGTCGGACCATACAAAAATTCCCTGAGAAAGATAGAGGAGGAGATTGCTTCCTCTTATCATTTTAATTTATTATTATTTAAAATCTCCGACAATTGGCGCCCAACGTGGGGCCTTGTCACCCTTTTAAAAATCCTCCTCCTCATTAATTTATTATTTATTATTTTAAAATTTCCGACAATTGGCGCCCAACGTGGGGCCTCGAATAACAATTTATCAAATTATCGAGGTTTCCATTTTACTTTTAATTATTACTTCAGTTTTTGAAGTATCGAATTTCGTTTACGATTGATTTACTGAGTAACTCGTTGTAAAATATAACAATTTTTCTTGTTTTTTTTGCATTTTTATTACATTATCGAGTAATTGCACACATTTGATATTTTGATAGTATTAAGATTTGTATTTGAGTTGCACCATGCCAAATCGCAAAACACATCCTAGGCAAAGTGAGATGCCAGATGAGGAAGTAAATGTAAATAATAGAATTTTTAGTAAAACTAAAGAGTGGAGAGTTAGTAGATTTAATGGCTCAGAAGATATAACGGAGTATTTTTGTCAATTTGAAATAACCGCAAAAGTAAATAAGTGGACATCACAAGAAAAAGCACTATCCCTTTTGCATGCACTAGATGGGAAAGCAAGAGGTGTATTTCACGAATTGCCAGATATTGACACAGTCACGTATAACGAGATTAAAGAGCTGTTGTTTAAACGATTTGGACCATCGAACTATTCAGAAACACACGAGTATAGTTTATCGCAGCTTAGATTACAAAAAGATCAGAACATTCGAGATGTGTCCCAGGAAGTTAACAGACTGTCAAGGCTATCCTATCCAGAGTTAAGTAATGCCATGAGAGAAAAGTTTGCAGTAAAACATTTAATTAATGCCATTGGTAATAAAGATATCATGTTTTATGTAAAGGACAAAGAACCAAGAACATTAGATGAAGTATGTCAACTATATGAAAAATATAAAGTTTTATCAGATGATGGCAAGAGAAGTCATTCGAGATCTTTAATTCAGATAGTTCAAGATAATGACGAGTTTGATGATAAGAAATCCAATGTTGTTAAACAGGATGATCCAATTACAAATATGAATAACAAAATAGAAAAATTGTTCAGCATGATTGATGAGATTAAACGAGATAAGTTTGAAACCAGAAATAACAATCAGAGAAAAGATGTTAACAATAAGTTTGGAAATAATAATAATTTAATCAGAAACAACAGTACGATTGACCAAAGAAAAAGTAGTTATCAGCAAAATAACAGAAACTTCAGTCAAGTGAACACTAATAACTTCAGACAAAATGTTGGTAGTTTTAAAAATACGACGAGATTAAATCGAAACGTTCAAACAGTAAAAACACCCTCCAAGTGTAACCATGATAAGGAAGCATTAGTTCATTTAGAAGCTGTATTTAGAAACAAACATTTAAAATGCCTACTAGATAGTGGTGCAGATGTAAATCTTTGTCCAAAGAAATTTGTTGATGATTTGAAAATTTTGAAAAGTAACAAAGAATTGTATGCAGTTAATAACATGGAGTTAATAGTAAACGGAACAATTACACTGCCATTAGAACTTAAGTATCAGAAGATTCTTACAACTTTCTATGTGTCACCAAACGTTGATCATATAATTTTAGGAAAGAATTGGTTATATGATAACAATTGCATTTGGAATTTTGGAAGAAGTAGTATTGTAATAAACGGAAAAAGTTACAACCTCGTAAAATCTAGACAAGAAACAGATATAAGATGCATTTCGAAAGTTACAGCTGTCATCCCACCCCGCAGTGAAATGTTCATTCAGACGTTTATAGAAAAATCAAATTTGAAGCCTTTAGGACAGAATACAGCATGGTCAACTAGCATAAATAAAATCAAAAACAATTTGTTAACTGCGAGATCATTAATTGATGTCAATAAACCGTCTACGAGTATTAGAGTATGTAACATATCTGATGAGAAAGTTGAAATACCTAAGGATCAAGTAATCACCAAATTACATGAAGTAGTTGTAGTTGATGATGAAGTTCAAGAATCAAATAACAAGCCCACCAAAGAATATGATGAGACTATAAAAACGATAGTTGATGAGGTACATTCCAGTGTTCCAAATAATATTCGTGGTAACTTGAGAAAGTTGTTGCTGAAGTATAAAAATATTCTCTCATTAAGCGAGTTTGATTTAGGAAGAACTAATGTAACGCAACATGAAATTGATACCGGAGCAAACAGACCATTTCGCCAAGCATTGCGACCGCAACCTAGAGCACATCTACCAATCATTGACAATTTGTTAGAAGAGATGTTACAGCAAAAAGTTATAGAACCTTGTCAGAGCGAATGGGCTTCTAATTTAGTATTAGTTAAAAAGAAAGATAATTCCTACAGATTTTGTGTGGATTATAGAAAGTTGAATGAAATAACGATTAAAGATGTGTATCCACTTCCTCGAATAGACTCATGTCTCGATTTGTTGTCTGGATCCCAATGGTTCAGTTCATTCGATTTAAGATCAGGATATCATCAGGTTGAAGTTCATCCTAAAGACAGAAATAAGACCACGTTTGTTTGTCATCGCGGTACTTTCAGATTTCCTAGAATGCCATTTGGACTTTGTAACGCTCCTGCCACATTTCAAAGATTAATGGACAATATCATGATAGGATTAAATTTTGAAACCTGTTTAGTTTACTTAGACGATATAATTATATTTAGTAAAAATTTAAACGAACATTTAAAAAGATTAGAACTGTTGTTTCAAAGATTGCACCAGGCAAATTTAAAGCTCAAACCGTCGAAGTGTCATTTAATGCAGAAATCAGTTAGCTGTTTAGGTTATATAGTTAGTGATAAAGGGATCGGAACGGACCCAATTAAAATTACAGCAATCAAAGATTGGCCAGTACCAACTACACTAAAACAAAGTAGAGCGTTTGTAGGTTTGTGCCAGTACTACAGACGATTTGTACCAGATTTTTCAGAAATAGCAGCTCCGTTATATGAATTGACAAAGAAATGTAACAAGTTTCAATGGACGCACGCATGCCAAACTGCTTTTGATAGTTTGAAAGAAAAATTAATCAGTTCTGAAATATTAGCTCTACCTAATGACGAGGATGCATTTATTTTAGATTGCGATGCTTCAGATAAAGCTATGGGTGCAGTACTTTCACAATTACAAGATGGAGTAGAAAAACCCATTTGTTACGGTAGTCAGTTATTTAATAAACATGAGATGAATTACAATGTAACCAGGAAAGAATTACTTGCAATTATAACATTTGTGAAAAAGTTCAGGAAGTATCTGATCGGTCGTTCATTCAAAATAAGAACAGATCATGCAGCGCTTCAGTGGCTGAGAAAAACACCAGAACCAATAGGACAACAAGCAAGATGGATTGAAATTCTTGAAGAGTACGATTACACTATTGAGCATAGGCCAGGAAGTAAACATACAAACGCTGATGGATTGTCGAGAGCAGTATGTGGTGTTATAACAGAAAACAAAGTAGAAAACGGTGTTGATTGGGTTGCAGAACAAGTGAAAGACAAAGACCTATCCTTAATTAAAGACGTCATCAAACATTCAGTAGTACCAGATTTGGGTCAATTTGTTGATAAAGAAAAAGATGTTAAAATATTACTTGCACAGTATGACTTAAGAGTAAAGGATAAACAATTTTCAGAAGGACAAATGGTTTATTATTATAATCCAAAGCACGTTAAAAATAAGTATCCTAAGGGGACAAAGTTATATGACGGCCCTTACATGATTTCAAGAAAAATAAGTGATGTAAATTTTGAGATTAAGAAGTGTAATGGTTATAAAACCATTGTCGTACACATAAATAAATTGAAGCATGTATGAAAACAATGTTTTTTTTTTTTTTTTTGTTTCCTGTGTTTTGTTTAATTTTAATTTAATTTTGTTTGTTGTTATGCATGTGCCATTATATAGAGACTTATTTGAACTGTACAATTTTCAGACAAATGTCATTGTTTTGTTATTTTATGCATATGCCATTATATAGAGAACTATCATTTGAACTGTACAATTTGCTCGCCATACCTTATTTCAACCAGAAAGAGGGGGTGGTGGAAAGTGTCAGAATTATGAAATAATGCTGACTAAAAATACTGCAAAATTTTCAACGCGAAATTTATTCACTCGATAGGGGGCATGGTGCAAGTTAATTTACTCGATAGGTGACAACGTATTTTTTTTGTTTTGCAATTTAGATGACGTCATAAATTATTATAAATTATTTTAAAATTTAATTAATACTTTTTCTGATTAATTGGACATGCCTTGTAGATTTTTATGTTTTAAAACACCCGAAACAAAATCTAATTTTGTTTTGATAAGGAAGGGTGTGAAAAGACTTAGAGAGAGTCCGCTCTGGGTTGACTAGTGAGGCAGCTTCGAATAATCAGTGCCTCTTCTGGTCCCTAAGAGACTTAACGCGTGATTCTATGCTCATTGGCATAGTTTCAGAAACGTCTTAAGTTCTCAAAGAGTCAGCCTTGGGTTCACCAGTTAGGCAGCTTCGAGTAATCAGTGCCTGTTCTGGTATCTAAGAGACTTAACGCGTGATTCTATGCTCATTGGCATAGTTTCAGAAACGCCTTAAGTTCTCAAAAGTGGATTTAGTACGAGACTCTATGCTCATTGGCATAGTTTCGCACGCGTACTAGAGTCACACAATTTGTTTCCAGTGTTGTTCTGACTCTTGTTGTCTTGTGTTGGTCGTGCGAAAGCCGATCAGACTCGACGGCCCAGTGAAAACAGGCCGTGGTTGTGCGAAAGCCGACCGACTGACAGACAGGCCCAGTGAAAACAGGCCCTTGGTCGTGCGAAAGCCGATCAGACTTGACGGCCCAGTGAAAACAGGCCAAGGTTGTGCGAAAGCCGACCGACTGACAGACAGGCCCAGTGAAAACAGGCCCTTGGTCGTGCGAAAGCCGATCAGACTTGACGGCCCAGTGAAAACAGGCCAGGGTTGTGCGAAAGCCGACCGACTGACAGACAGGCCCAGTGAAAACAGGCCTTGGGTTCTGTGAAAACGAATCCGCCTCGTTGTTTTGTTTCTTGTGCTATTTGTGGACCTAGGGTTCTTTGCTGGATTCTATACTCATTGGTATAGTTTCACACGCAGCTTGGAATTTCCATAGGCTCCGATTTTTGTGATTCATTTTTTTTTTTTTATTTATTGGAGTTGTATCGACATCACCATCGGATACACACGATTAAAACGCCAAGAAACATATTCCAAGTTGAAGACCCAACAAGAAGAGTTCTAATTCCTGTATTCCAGTTTGTTCATTGACATTTACATTCTTATAGAGTTCATTAGTTCAATTCCTTTTATTTACTTCCGTCGATTAATAAAATTGTTATCGAATATTTTTACGCGTTCGTGTGTTACTCAGTAAAATCATATAATTCGAAAAAGCCCAGTGCCACACAGGACTGGTCGAACTCACGATAAAAATATACACAAAAATTATTGTCGGACCATACAAAAATTCCCTGAGAAAGATAGAGGAGGAGATTGCTTCCTCTTATCATTTTAATTTATTATTATTTAAAATCTCCGACAATTGGCGCCCAACGTGGGGCCTTGTCACCCTTTTAAAAATCCTCCTCCTCATTAATTTATTATTTATTATTTTAAAATTTCCGACAATATATATATATATATATATATAGAGCAAATAAAACAGAATGAACGTAGAAAAAAGATGAAAAAACCTCTTCATCTAGATCGAAATCTTCACAATCACTTATTGAAATGCATGGAATGGAAGTTTTGCGGTCATCGACCTCGCCATTATCTTCGAAATCTTTGGCATCTGAACAGTTTCGTCCGTCAACATTCTTGTCAATGTCATCTGCAGAGTTCGGTGTAGCGCTGTCTTCAGAACCTCTTTGGTTACTAGTACTGGTGTCAATTTTTTCATTTTTATTTCCTCTAGCTGGTGATGGAAAGAGAAAGACAGACGGTTTGGTTTTTTTTGTAGGGTTTATTAAGCAGGAGGTGGTGGACGTTGTAGATTTGCATGCAGGTGTTATTGCTGATGTTGACGTTGTTGTTGATGTTGCTGATGTTGATACTTTTGATAGAGAGAGGGTTGATGATGGAAATAATTTGCTGCCTTTCTTAGAAACATCCGCAGAGGGCGCTTTTGTTGCATTTATCGCTGAAGTAGGAATGGTTGATGTTGATGTTGATGCTAGGCTGGTTGTTGCTATAGTGAGGTTCTTCTTGTTGAAGTTCAATGACGAAGAAACACTGTCAATTATGCTTCTCGACATCTTAGCAACTAATCTTGAAGTAGTAGCTGTTGTAGTAGCATTAATCGCAGCAGCGTGGCTTCCAGTGTCAATACAACTTGAGCAAGAAATGATGTTTGAATTTGTTAACGCTGCCTGTGCTGAGTCATCATTTATGGTGGCGACAGAAGTTGCAGTAGGAATGTTTCCAGGAGATGAACGGATGGTGGGTGATGTGAATGTTAGGTTCTCAACGTTCGGTTTTGTCAGTGGAATGGGTGAAGGTGACGATGATGGAGATTTGTTCATCAGTGACCGCTTGTAATTTTCCATATTGAAACAGATCGTCTGATGGTTTTGTTCATCTACAGCTTTCAAAAATAATGATCAAGTATAATAAATATATAGAAATATTAGCATAAAAAGACTGTAAACCAACAAGTTATTAATGGCCACAAAATTTTAAAAAATATGAAACAAAGTACGCCCATGATCAGATCATAACTTTCATAGATTGGTGGTTTTACTAGACATTTGAAAATTTTTAAAAATTAAAAAAATATTTTTTAAATGTACTAATGCACATAATGCATTTACAACTACACAATAAACACAACTGATAAATAAATCTTTTGCAAACACAATTAAGTCAAATTTATATCACAAAATATCCAGACATTTATAGCCCAGCAAAACAACAAAAACAATTACTTCTCTCAGTAACTTCAACAATATTTCTGATAGCCTTCTTCAAGCTGTTGGCCCGGCACATCAACTGCTCCTTCGACCTGTAGGCTGTCTGCTGCTGATGCAAGAATATAATCACAACAACCACTAAACAACAAAATAGCAACAAGTTGACTATTACATCGAGCCAAAACCACACACGACATTAACAAAATATGACAAGAAAGAATTAAAATATTAAATATTATTATTGAATATAAGAACATCAAAAAACCCAAAGCATACGGTCTTGAAATTATATATATATACAAATCAAGGCAAGAAAGATACTCATTTTTAAAAACCACCTTCATACATGTAAAACAATTAAAACATTTAACTATTTTTTCAACTCGCCAGTTTAGGCGTGGTCAACAAATCTACAAGCAGAATTGAAATAAAAAACACAATTCAAATATTACAAAGACAGTAAATATGTTTTGTCATGATAACAAACATTTTTTTAGCTCAATTGTAAATGAATAACTTTTAATAATTCAATAATTCAACAAATTAGCATGAAAAATTAACGTGACGTGTTTAATCGTTTTGTACCACCAATCGTTTAGTTAATATCTATTGATTAGTTGATAAGAAAATCATGAGAACGCAAGAAACAAAAGTGACAATTTTAAACTGAAAAGTCCTCTTTCTCAAATACTAAATAGCAAATAAGTATCCGGTATAATATTATTTTTTGTTTTTATTATGCAGCCCCGCCATACGCAGAACTGTTAACGTATCTTTCTATATTCATAACTAAATAGCTAAACTTTCGTGCCACACAGGCTGCAACATCCACACTTCACACGTTTACTTGTAATTTATTGGCCCGACAATTTATTGATTCAAGATATTTATTAATTAATTTAATTGGTTAATTTATTGAAGTCTGTTGATAATTTTTGTATTGTTATCAAAAATAATCAAAATTACAAAATTTCCGCTTAAACGGACAATGGCAAGTTATCGAAAAATCGATTACAAGATTTCTAAACAAAAAACCTAACAAACAGCCGATATAAGCGTAGTGAAACCCAAGCAATGGAAATTTAACAATTGACAAGAAATATACTGCCACAAAATAAACCAATTAAAAACCTTAGAAGAAGATGAGTTGGCAGTGTTGTTGGACGTCCCTCTACTGCAGGATGTTGTGGCTGTCGTCGTTGTTGTTGTCAATGTTAGCGGGGATTCAACTGATGATGTCGTTCGCGTTGCAGGCATGTCTAAAGATGGTGATGTAGAAAGTTCAACATCAGGTTGAGAATGATCTAGTTGTTTGTCAGAATGGTGTTGCTGTTTTGAGCAATTCTTTGATTCAATTAATCCCTGTTCAAGACTGGATTCTTTAGCGAGCGTCTTCAGCAATGCATCCATCTTATCGTTGAGCATCATACATTTGTAGGCCAGTGAATCGTCAGATGTTGTTCCCCCCTCCAGAACTTCTATGGTGGATGCCACTTTTGAGACAATTTCTTGCACAATACTGCAAAGCACCCTGACAGCGTTCAATTTAAATTATGTACACGCCAGAAAAAAAAAAAAACAGAAAACAAATAAATTGGCAAGTTCTGAGAAATAAGTCGTGAACTATAAATTAATTTAGTTAATAAAAAGTTTCTTGAAGAAAGAAAATCAAAAAATTATGTAATTATATTATCTTTAACCAGTTAGTTTTATGGCAGAAATTTCTGGAATTATTTGAAAATATAGATTTAGTTAAATAATTGAAATTAAATGATTCTAAATAAACGAACAAAAAAAAACATGTTGTAAGTACATAGCAGAAGAGATGACAACGTTATGACTCTGAGAATGCAAGATTCTGGATAGGTGGTCGGCTGCCGTGTCCTCAAATGCAACAATCGGTTCTATCTGCAGTCAATGTTTCGTGGTGAGACGCTATTATAGTTATTATAATTATTTAGAAATGTTTTTAACAATAAACAAAAAAAAGATAAAATTCAGCAAAAAATTTGAGCTCTGCACTAGCTGTTTTGAAGGGTTGAAGTATCAAATACACTATGAAATCATTATTTTAGCAATTTTATATAAAAAAGTTCATATGTATCTCAACTTTTCTTTCATTATGCTTTGAACAAAATTAACTTGAAAAAAAATCTTGCCCTGTTTATAAATTTTATTTTAAACAATTTTCATAATTCTTTCTTATTTAACTTTCACACAGTCGATTTTTTTCCAAACTGACATTTTTATATTCAGATTCGGTCAAAAAGCGATATTTCATCTGGCATTTGACTAAATTCACTATTGTGTGCACTTATATAAAAAATCACATAAAAAGACAAATCATGAAGCTACAATAGATCAACAATATCAAAATGTTGGAATGTCATGAGTGATTCCAAAATATTTTAAGAACTAATTTGTAACACTAACTGGAATGCTTCTTGAATGTCTGGCGTCGGTTTCGTAGCAGAGCACGCTCCATCTGCAAAATTTATTTCTATTATTTATATAATCTTCTAATTAAATGTAAAAGTTTCATCAACGTCATTATTCATATAACAATCAATAAAAAATGAGCCAAAACCTTTACTGACGTAACAAATCGATCAATCAAATAACAGTTAACCGTTTTGATTAACAGTTCTGATTAACAGTTTTGTTTAATATGAGGTTATTTCATTGATTGAAAAAGACTACTGTTATATGAAATTGTTTATTTATTCATTAATTGTTTATATTTCATTTTTTTTGTATATTTATTATTATACTGGATCGTTTATAGAAACGATCATACGGACATAGTCTGCGCTAATTATTATGATAGTATATTATATATTCTTCATAATTTATATTTTGCTGAGCGGGCATTAAACAATAATCATATAGTTCATTTTCAACAAATTTATAATTAAAATTTTATTTTGTCATTATCTTCCGGGGACCGTAAAAGTTCTGCCGAACTTCAGTCTCCTTGCTTCTAGCTAAATAAAATTTTTTCTTTTTCTTATAGACAACAGCAGATAGACAGACAAACAAACAGATAGATAAAGATATGGATTGAAAGATAGATAAACCGACAGACGGCATAGACAAACAGGCAGACAAACAGACAAAGACAGATTGCAGACACATTGGACGAACCTGTCAAACATTTGTATTTGGGCTCTTTCCAGCCTCTCCAGCATCAGAGAAAGTTGGGTATCGTCATCAAAGGAAGCACCCCAACCAAGAACTCTTGACAGATCATTGCCAGTACCCAATGGCAAAATCCCAAGTTGACACTGAATCAAAATATAAAAGAATACAGTTAAAATAAATGTAACATGAAATAGGCCATAAAAAATGACAGACATTAAAAATTATAGCCAAAATTCACATTTTAAAATTCATCTTCGAAATAATACAACTTAAAATATTTGCCATAGAAATACTAAATGATGTCCCACAGAAATTCTTTTATAATTGTAACTTACAGACCTCCACCATGCTCGTTTAATATGCTTCGATCTTATTGATTAAATGTTATCATAAATTGTGTGGGACCAAGAATTCTGATTAAGTTATTGAGTAAAAGATTTAAACTTTGCTTAAGTTCTGTTTTGATTTGTATTAGATTTTTATTTTTAAAAATTTGACATGGCATGACAATGAACATTATTTTTTTAAACTTTATAAATTTTATCCTGGCTAATTTTGCAGCATGTAAAAAATTGTTCTGTTTCTGTTACTAAATAAAAATTTCTTTTTGAATGGCAAATCTAACTTAGTAAATTATTCATAGTCGAAATGAGCATAAAATGTTTTATAATAAATTATTACGAATGTTCACGGTAATTAACTAATTATAATGACAATTACACAAGTCTTATTATCTTTAACTTATCGCCATATTATTTGTAATTATTATTAGTTATTTATTAATCATCTATTAATATTTATTTTTGTTGGAGGCATAAGAAAGAACGTATCGTGGTGCCTCATTATTTTCTATTTGTTATGTTAATAAATAGTGTGATAAGTCAGACAAACTGAACCATAATTTACTATGTACATAGATAAACATGACTTTTTATTATCATGACTTTCATGACCCCGAACTTTTATATATGATTAAAAACAGCTTATGAAGAATCGGAAATAACAACTTTACTAAATAGCATACAACATACATACACACATACACCAAGACACTCACTTGTCCGTGCAGACCAAGTTTGTCGATTTCATTGAGGACCCAACCCATGCTTCCATCTCCTCCACACACCAACACACGGAATGTTTGAAAATTCTGGAAAAGTCTCAACCTGTTATATAAGGTTTAAATATTTATTTGTAAATTCGTTTAATAAAAAAAAACAACATCCTACCAATTTCAACTAACCCAGTTCTTGGTCCTCCATTCATCAGATCAAAAACTTGAGCCGGATTTAACAACTGTTTAAATCTTCTTAACATTTTGACACCCTGTTTAGTGAACATATTAAATTTTTAAACTTAGCTGTTCTTAAAACATTATACCTAGATTATTCCTTCATTATTGATCAAATAAACTATTTTCTGATGAACCTACAAAATTTAAACAATGTATGTTGATTTATAATATCTACATTGGAAACAACAAAAAATAAAAAGTTGAAAGCAAATTTATACAAAGATAATAAATATTAGTCACCTGATGAATAAATTCAAATTTTGAAAAAAAAACTAGGAATCCATTTTAGTAGCTTTTAAATTTTGACAATTTTAGCCTTTTACACTTGGTGAGTCTGATAAATTTGTTGAACTTTTTTTAACATATAAAATATATGTTCCGCAGTTTTTAATTCAAAATGCCTTCTTAGATAAAAATGTCAAAGCTTCTAACAAACAAACAATTTAACAAACAAACAAACAAATAAACAAACAAACAAACAAAAAATATTTATAACTTGTCGTATAAGACTTTAAACAATTCCTTATTTCAATAAGGCCTTAATTGACCACAGGCATATAATTAATATTTCCCTAAAGCTAATGTGTTAGAACTTGTAACAATATAAAACAAGCTGAGAGGCAATACAAAACAATAATAAAGATAACCATTACTTCATTGTAGATGATGCAAAAACATTTCAAAATCATAACACGCACAACAGTTTTGATACAAAGTAGCAGTGTTTTAGCAGGCAACCGACCTGACTGTCACCACTTTTAGAATTGAGAAAGACCAACAGAGGGCTGCTGTCGGAAGGTTTCTGGGCTCTCCAGAAGCCACCCTCGTCCATCATTGTAATGGAAGTAGGTGGCAGGATGGATACGTGGGCGGGACCAAGGTTGCATGTAGGTGTCTTGTGCTGGCAACCACTGTGCACCTGCATCATGTACAAAATGAAACTGTGCAGTGTCTGCAATGGAGCAGTTTACATTGCTTTGTATTCATTCTTTCATTACACAATCATCTAAAAATGGCATTTACAACGAGTCAGGTTAATGTTAAAAAATTTCATCAGATGTTAAAAAATTTTAAATCTAAAAAACTGAAAAATATTCTATCCCCAAAAATTATTTGCTGATTGTATTAATAAATATAAAAAATTAATAAAATTGAAAATTTTTGTAAATCGATTCAAGACCTGTAAACCTTGCGTGATAACAGCGCATTAAATATCTAAACAACTTAAATAGTGAATAACCTATAAATCATTGAGAAATTGACAAATGAGTACAAAAATTGTGCAAGGTTGTTTAAAGCATCGTTCAAACGGTAGACAAAATAAAAATTAAAACAAAAAAAGATTTTAACAGTTGCTTGGCACCAAAGGCAAGACAGGTCTTGCAGCCTCAACATGCTCCCACAAGATTTCTTGCAGACCAGACATTTCGAATTTGCTGGAAAGTTGCCCATTTGCCATTGGTGAGGCATCAAAAGATTCTGTAATGGTAGTGATGAAGATGACGATGATAACGTTGACGATAATAAAGATGATGATAACAATAACGAGGACGATGATAGCACTGTGACAGTAATGATGATGGTGGAAACAATGGTGATCGATCATACAAAGAAAACGCAGCTCTTATTATTATTATATCTTCAATGTCGAGTTTTGCATGCATAAGAAATAACTAATTACATAATATTTTGAAAGCATTTATTATACATTTTCCATAGAAACAATGAATGCCAATGACTCATCTGCTTGTTGTGTATTTAAGCGTACACTATATACATGTGTAGTAACATTTACATATACAAACATAATTTCGTAAATACACATACATACAGAAAAACCTATTCATACACGCATGTACATATATACACATACAAATATACGCAGATGTTGGAGGCAACACACTAGAAAATGAAACGACGCAGAAAATAGAAACAAACAAACGGTGATGAAGATTTAAAAATAGTTGAACGATGGATGACCTTCTGCAAAATGAAAGAGAAAACAACAGCAGAACAAAAGAGGAGACATTATGAAAATATAAGAACAAAATGATGTACAAATTTGAATGATTTAAATGATAATGATAAATGATTAAATGATATAAAAATTAAAACATAACACTTGATATTGCTGATAACGAGACGAAAACTCAGAGATATGATAGAAATAACATTTAAAGAAGAAATGAGAAGAACGGGCCCTGAGATAACAATCTATTATTATAAACATCATTCGTTTGAAAACCATTAATCACAGACAATAAAATTTGTAGATTCAAAAGTTGTTGACAGCTAAGGTAAGAAACCAACCAGCTCAACTTACAGCATTTTTATATAAAGATAAAAAGTCAGACAGTAAGACAACATTTTATTTTTAACTCATATACAAGTGTCTGCAGAATGAATTGTCCATTTATACTACAATATTTAATTGTTCAAATGAATGAGTTTGCTAGCATAAGCATGTCGTCCATCTCACTGGATTTGTTGACAATTTAGCGATGATGCTATTGATGAGTATGTAGGTGGTGCTGAAACATTCAACTGTTACGTTCTGCATCCATAATTTAAAAAAGTTTGAAATTCACAATGATTGGTGATGTTGATTAATGAGCTTGCATCTGGCATGTTGTTTGTCATATTCGTCCCAACGTTGTTTTGTTGTTGCCACCAATCCATTTTAATTAAAGCAAAATTAGTAAATTAAAAGCAGTGCTAACAATAGTGGTAATAATAATAATAAGATTATTATTATTATTATTCCCTTTCTTCTTTTAATTATAACAAATAAAATGTGAACCATAAAAAGTATGGTAATAATTATTATTTAAAATAGGCTGAAATGGTTATAAAATTATAGCGAATTTCAAAAGTATTTAAATTTGCATAATTATGGACAAATAAAAATAAATGTTGGTGTGAAATGGTTCGATGTTTAACAAAAAAAAATCATCTGCTTCAGGCAAACAAACATTCAACATAATTCATTGCAGTGAAAAGTGTGGACTACAAACGAAAATTAATAAATTTTAAGCAACTTTTCTAAAGTTGAGCTACAAAAGAATAAACTGATGTAGTTTTGTTTATAAAATTTAAGAAATTTCAAAAAGTTACACGTATGAGCCTCGGCAGATCATTATTAATGACAATTCAAGGTCAAGGACACATGTAATTGCAAACGCAATCCCACTTCACAAATAACAAGATAGCAAACGGTTAATTAACACTGAAACAGAAAGCACAGCAGATGCAAGAATGCAGCAACTACTCGACGAAGATGATGTACAAACGATGAAAGTGACACGACATGACATGACTGACCCCCTCTGCATCCTCGACGATGGAATGTTCCATAGAGGCCAGAGTGCTCCACTTGCAAGTTGGGTGAGACTTTATGGCACATCTCTTGTGCGTTCTGTACTTGCAGACTGGTTGGTTGTTTGGTTGGTTGGCAGATGGGTTATTTAGTTGTATAATTATTTGGTTGATTGGTTGTTTGTTTGGTTGGTAGGGTGTTTGGTTGGTTGGTAGGTTACATAGTAGGTTTTTTGTTGGATGTTTGTTTGCTAAGTTAGGTGGTTTGCTGAACATAATTGATCACCACGTTGAGAGAATAAACACATTGTCTCAGTTACAAAATTGCTAAATAAATTAAATATACAGTACAAGTTTATGAATCTATAGATATAAATTTAAAAAATTTTTGAACTGGCCTTATTTCAATGAAATTTTCACACACACACACACACACACACACACACACACACACACACACACACACACACACACACACACACACACAAACAAACAAACACATACATTTATAAATATATAAGAATAGTAGTAAAGAAAACATTTGATAATCAAAACCAACAAAAACAGCCATAAGAATAGTGTAAACCTTCACAAGCCAGTCCGTGCAGCGTAACTCCACTTCTGGAGACACTCTGCAGTGATTCGCCACAAACGTTACAGAACGTGGGTCGGATGGTCGGCAGGACGCACCAGTTGTGTCTTTGTAGGGTCATGTTCAACGCGGGCGGAGATATCTACGATGCAGATGGTGGTATGAAGTTGAGTGATTAATGTTGCCAATAAATTGCTTCAACAAAATAACGTGCAATCGAACCTCTCTATTTTTATAACCACCAGTTTTTTTATTGACTGCTAATTAAATGTAACGACAAAAATAATGATAAGAATAACAACAACAAATCAAAACAATACCGTAAACAAAATCAATAAGTGAATCTGTTAATGAAACAATTTAATAAGTAAAAAAGTATGCCAAATAACAGTAGAAAATGATCGAATGTGGGGAGCGAACGACGAACATTTTTAAGAAACGATCTCAAACAAGCTTGCTGCAAACAACTGCATCAAAAGATCTATTCGCCGTGAGCTGTGTAAACTCAAGCAATATATCGAAGACTGCAACAGTATCACAAAAATGCTGTGAAATGTGAAACCAATCAGTCAACCATTAAAAGCTATTAAGAAGTCAGTTCATTATTTCCGTCAGATACAAAAAAATGTACTTAATATACATAGTATTAATGATAGATAATAATATAAACCGATAATTGTATAATCTTTAATATTATAATTTTTAATACGTACGAATAAAAAAGAGTATTGCCTTTCGTGAGTATGTTTGAACTGAACAGTTAAAACAACTGATTATGAACTACCATCAACAAAATTTAAAATTGTTGCCAACGTTGCAAAATGCCCTTTATAAATTTATAACTGGCTCTTCAACCGTGATAATTATTATGTACATTTTAGAAATTGTTGGTTGCATAACTGCGTAGCGGAGTGCATACAGTTAAAACATCAAGCAGATGGATAGCCAAAAATATTTCTTGCGTGACAACTGGAAATAAGTTTCGTAGCGAAGCAATTACTTATATCATTTCATTAAATTTGAAACCTTCTTCTTAACAACCATCCTCCCCTTCATGCGTTGAACCTTTTTGGTTTAAATTATACATGGTAGGAATGCTTTCCCAGTCAAGTGTAGTTACGGTATTTTTTTATAATATATTGAATTTTAAAAATGTAAAAAGTATTGAACAGTAGTTAAGTTTCAACAAGCAGCTCCAACAACACAACACAACATTAACAACGCAACCACCGCCACAACAGCAACAACGGCTACTACTACTTCCAATAACAAAAATAATAATAATAAAAATAATAATAATGATAATAACAATAATCCTTATGACCAAAAGACCAGATACCAAAGACCCTAATAAATATAGACTGATAACTTGTCTTCCTACAATGTCTAAAATTCTCACCGGTGCCATATTAAACAGAATATATGATTGCTTGTGTGCAAATGACTTATTTTCTTCAGAACAAAAAAGATGTAAAAAGTCTTCCAGGGAATGTAAAGATCGAGTATTGGTGAATATGGCAATAATTCGATCAGCACTCAAAAGCAAAAAAAATTTAGGGTAAGCATAGCATGGATTGATTATAAGAAAGCATTTGATAGTGTACCACACTCATGTATTCAAGATGTGATGACCATTTACAAAATCCCCAGTGATTTCAGAAAATTTATTGGAGATTCTATGTCAAAATATAAAACTAAAATGTGCCTTTACTATGATTAAGGTGTGTTAATGACAAAAACTGTAAAGATTGGAAGAGAAATTTTTCTGGGGGACTCCCTTTCACCGTTACTGTTTTGGACGATCTGAAACTCTTTATGCCTAACGATGACCAACTCAAAAAAGCGCTGACGATATTAAATAATAAGTCGTGATGTTCAAATGAAATTTGGAATAGACACATGTGCTACTCTAGTTGTTAGAAGTGGTACTGTGATGCGAAAAAGCGGTATAAATGCTGATCTACTTCAGAGGTGTAGATGCAGAAGAAAGGTACAGATATTTGGGAATGGAGGAAACAGAAGGAACGCAACAACGAATGATGAAGGAACAATTCAAAAAAGAACACTATTGTTGGGTGAAATTGATTTTAACAACACAGCTGAAGCAAAAAATAAAGTTATGGCTATCAACAATCTGGCAACCCCAGCCAGAAAGTACAGCTTTGGTATAATTGAATGGCGATGATCAGAATAACAGCAAATTTATAGAAAAACAAGAAAATTGCTAAATATGGAAGGAGCACATCATTCGAATGCTGATGTTGATCGATTGTATTTTAACAAAAATAAAAGGGGTAGAGGGATAATAGGAATTGAAGATTCTCATCTTCAACCGAATTTATATGATTCAAATCTATTTGATCACAAAAATTTTTTCAGGTTGGCTAAAATACTGCCAAGTAAATAAACATTCATCCAAGCACAATATTTGGGCGGCGTGATAGCGAAATAGTTAACGGTGCCTGGTCCTGCTGTTACGGTAACTGTGTTCAAATACAAAGAAATCCCCGCCTATCATATGCAATGAGTGTGACGCGTGGTTTGTACGCGTATTTATGTACGTTGAAATCACTGAGGCAGGTGTACAAGAAAGACTAGTTTAATATTCATAGGCCGAAAATCTGGGATGAAAGTGTTTCTCTTCCAATTAAATTAACTAACAATTTTATAATTCTCAAAAATAAAATTAAATAATTTCTATTAAATAAATTGGTTCACGTAAAGGTGTGTAAGCCATACAATCAGGCCAATGTTTCAACCTTGGTATATGAAGACTGCAGATGCAGGCATGTAGTAACAAACAGGCAAACTGGCCAACTGAAAATATACTTACGGATGAACATCGCAATAAAAAATGATAAATATGATAAATAAGAATAGCAAACCAGCGATGGAGAGGAAGATGGAAGAAGCAGCAGCACTTATAAGAACTTCCTCTATATGATGGTGCTAAACCGTTTATCACGGACAGAGGCAAGAATATTTTCTTCAACGTCGACGTGGATAACCATCATCACCAACAACGTAGACACCAAGACAGCTCCACCATTTCACTTTTATATTAGTGCTATAATCATCCATCCCACTAGCATCACTCATATTCCCATTACTATTACTATGATTAATTATTAGCAAATGTAAAAACGTTATAGACCATTGCTGGTCTCAGAAAAGCTCAAAAGCTCTCCCAACATTAGACAGCTCCACACACACACACACACACACACACACACACACACACACACACACACACACACACACACACACAGAACAAGCGCACACGCACACACAGAACAAGCGCACTCCATTCGAACTAAGCCATCGCAATAGCGTGTGCTAAGTGAGCGGAGGAGAAGAAGTACTGTTAAATAAATTACGATCATGAACCATCGCTATTATCATCGTTGTTACAATTGCAATGAAATGGCATACTAATGTATTATAGTCAACAGTTTAGTTTTGAAATAGTTCAGTATCGTTTATTTACGCTTTATTTGTAGTTTTATTTATCTCTATTATTAATTTCTTCTTAGAAATGAATACAAACGAAAAAATTAGACAGTTAGACGAATAATCTGAACCACACATACATAACATACATACATGCATATATGCACACAACAAAAGCATGAAAGTACATACACAACAGACTACATGGAAGTACACTTATACAATATAACAACATAGAAGTACACTTATACAAGTACAATATAACAAGAATAGAAAATAGATGCTCATACACACAAATCAACCTAGAAAAACACACATATATTACAACATATATAAATACAACATATACACACTCTACAACAATTTCAGAATATGTAACCTACAAAACGCTACACATACGCGCACGCACGCACATGAAAGTTAATATATTATATACGAGTATGTGTGATGAATTAGTTTGATGATGAGCTGCTTACACCAACTCCATGTACATAAATGTTGAAGATGCGAAGATGATATATACATTTCATGAAGGAGAAAATAAGAGAGAGGGTGAGATAGATGTAGAAAGAAGAGATGAGAATGAGGAAAAATAGAAGCACAGGAAATGAAAGAAGGAGAGAAAAGAGTAAAAATAAATTACCACTACAAGCACTAAATAAAAAAACGCTATGTGCATAAATGAGAAAGAGGATCATTTAAAAGGGGACAGCCCTAGAAACAGACAGTTGAACACGTCAGTCAGAAAAGTATGCGAGCGAATAAATGCATACAAGATTCCTTCTTGTTGTTTTTAATGTTGCTAATCACTTATGCTGTTACCGTGTGTAACGCTAAATGTTCCTGAAGCTACTATCTGCTGTTCGAGTAATGAGTGATAATGCATCAACACTGATTGGTGTAAACTCCTAATGGTTGATACTGAATTGACTCAGCAGTTTCTTATGTTTTACTAAATTTTAAATTACTTCTAAAAGAAACTGCAATGACTAACGTTTCTTATCAATAGTTTTTACCGAAAACCTCTTTTTCTGTTGCTGCGCTACAATGATTGACAAGGCAGAAAATAAATAAGTCAAAAAATTAAATGTAAAAGTTGACGAGCATGAAGGAAACGTGACGTAGTCAAGATATGTAAAGAAGAAATAAGATGGAACGGTCTGCGGGATCATTGCATGACAATTTGAAAATTAAAAAAAGGCTTAAAATTTTTTGAAGATGATGATCCATTAAATATATATCTATTTGTAATTTATATAACCAACTTCTAATTAATATCACTCAAATAAATATAGACTGTCATTGTCCGCAATCATGAGAAAAAATAATTCAAATATTCACAACTTGAAAATTATTTTCAAATTATTTTCCTCACGTAAGAACAGCAGGTAGAGCAGTTTTTGAAATAATTCTTCAACAACAATTGCCAAGATGTCTTAAATATTCCTTGCACACAAAATTTTCATTTTAAAGATTCAGTTGGTGATGTGCATACGAAAATAAAATTTTGCCTCAACAGACGAATTATATAAATAAATGTAAATATTTGATGTGCACATAAATCTACATTTAAAATTAGTTATGAAATGATTGAAAAAACACAGCTGCTAGAATAAAAAACACACCAACATATTCAATTTTTTTGCATTTGTTCTTACTTTACTAAAAAGTACTCAACTTAGAGAAAACTAA